GTGTGTGTGTGATGTCAACAGAGACAGACTGGGACATTTTCTCATTTTGTGATCAGATGAGGAGAGTAAGTGTTTCAAAAAGTCTTGCATTTTAATTTCGCCAATTTCCCTCCTTAAATTTGTCCTTGACCTTCAATTTCAAGAGGTTTTTAATGTAACATTCAAATTCAGAGAGGTGCAGGTAGAGAACAGGTCTAAACAGCGTTCTGATTCATTGGAATATATATTGAAATATTATCCGTTATGGGTCCAGATCCATCCTTTAGTGACCTGTGTTCTGTCTGTATCCTTTGATTTGAGTATGAATTTGTCACTTTTACCTCACTTAGCGTCTTTTCCTCGGAGTTACCGCTTAAACACATATCTTCTGTTTGATTGTTGTAGTATTTCTTTCAAGCTGTCTTACAATTTCTTGAATCACAGCTCTTGCAATTCTTTATGACGTACCATCACACACAAAGATAGTCTTTCGTTTTTTTTCTTACAGCATTCTCCAGTTGATAGAGTGGAGACACCTTGAAAGATTGGAAACATAAGCGTTCAGCTCTAAATGCTTTAAAAAGCAAAACTGACGTATCTGCGAGCTCTCAGTTATAAACGACCTCCAAGATGAAGTTACCGTAGATGAAGCTGCATTGATCTCTGTGGGGAAATGAGTGGTGCCAGCAGCAGATAGAATAATGCAGCGGGAAAATAGAAAAGTAGGTTATGAGCACAAGGAGAGAATGTAAGATGAGCATTCAAAACAGTTGCAGTATATATATGTACATGTATGTACTGTGACATTTGAATTTCCCTCCGGGGATTAATAAAGTATTTCCGATTCTGATTCTGATGTTTATATATATGTATATATTATAGGTGGACTGCAGGAGAGAGCATCAATATTAATGTGGTCCTAGTTTAGAAATACTTAAATACACAGTACATCCAATTATTTGGAAGTAACCTTATATCAATGTGCTAGTATTTAATGTTAGAGTATTTTTTTTAATGAGGTATTCAAAAATATCAATTTGCTCATGAGTGAAGACTCTGGTAGAGTGAAAGTTGTAGAATGTAAATATCGTTTTATATATTTTACCAACGAGGTCACTCCACCTCAAAACCGACCCTGAGATGAGGCGGTGAGACAGGAAACGGTGGTTAGCTATAAGAAGAGCGTCGCCCTGTAGTCGTGGCCGTGTCTAAACTGTATATTTCCAGGAACAGAAGGAACTATGGGATTTTTCACCTCTAGTCTAATGGCTGCACAGTCACAGGAAGCGAGACTGCAGCCCATTGATTGGCCGAGCCAAATCAGAGCAGAATTACATGAGCCAATCAATGGCTCTGATAGCTCAGGGCCAGCGGGAAATCTGAGATCGAAGCACATCGCTTGTTTTCACCCCCTCACTCCCTCCCCAGTTTTTACATTTCCCTGTGTCTTTTGTGTTTTTTCCTTCTCGGTTCCTGCTTCGCTGCGTTATCAAAGGCCCTGAGATAATGGTTATGAATTGGCGGTGTTGCCATGTGACGTTTAAGGGCAGAGTATACATTTGGGGAAAGGGAGATGAGAGACGGAGCTCATTTGTAAAAAGAGATTAGGCCATTCAGCGACTCGCCGTGCCTCTGTCGGGGAAGCTGATGGGAATAATTGCAGGGAGGACGGGGACAAATGGTGTTGTATGTTCCCTTTGTCAGTCATAATCATTTTTTGGACCCGGACCCTGTGATAAATCTGCTGCACTCTTTTTTGATTAACTGTGTAGCTGTTAATTATTCACAGAGGAAGGTTAGTGGTGTTACTACTAATAGAAATTATCTCGTTGGTTATCTCACCTCTGAAAGTCCCAGTCTGTAGTTTTTACGTCAGTATCAATTAAAAGATGACACATTGGTGTAATTGCCATTAACACTGGTCAACACATTTGCTAGTCTGTTTCCCAGCGGTGGTTTTCAAGCTTGTATTAGTGGAGACGCATGAGGATTACATGTCTTTCACAAAACAAGATTTGTTAATGCATTAAACATGTTTAAGTATAAAACAAGTGTCTTCCAGAGTAACTTTGACATTAGTATAAAAGGTCACCATGTCATTTCCAATTGTAGATATGTGGTTTTAAAAGATAATGATTTATATTGTATTGATTCCATGTTAATTAACATGTGGACTCCATATAACAAAGTTCTCCAAGAGGGAGCAATTAAAACAAATGAGTCATAAAATCATCAGATTTAGTATAAACAATAAAAACTAATTGAAAAGCATGAAAATCTGGATATTCTCTCTGATTACAGGGACTGAAGTCAGACGACCTGAGACTGTAAATACACAGGTTTTCATTAAAGTCAAATGACAGGAAAAGAAAACAACTAACAGTGAATCATTAGCTGTGTCTCCGACGCCTGACGACCCGATGTACTCTCCAGTAACTAATGAAAACACGTCAATAATCCATGACACACTGTCGGACATGTTCCTTCATCAAGATGAACACGCCCACTAGTAATTTACACTGACCTGCTGCAGTAGATTCTCACCGGAGAAGCACATGTGCATTATTCCGCAGCTTTTGTGTTTTTTTTGTTTTTTTTGTGAACCCAATCGGAGCCCAATGTTTCTTGCAGATTACAGGCATGAAGTGTAAAAAATGATGCAGAGCCAATGTGACCAAACCCGACTCAAGCCCGATTATGATTTTTATTGCATCCGCACGCTACTCTGAGTTACTGAACCTTGAAAAATACATTTCAAAACAACACATTTGTGAGCCTGTGATTTTTCTCAGATATCTATATCTTCTGTAGGGACCAGTGGAGCAGACTAACCTGACTGTGTGTCCATCTGAAGGAAAACATAACAAGTGAATTGTTGTTTGTTTCTGACTAATTCTGATAAGATGTATGGAGTTACTGTAAAAAGGTAAATTTCTCGTGTCTTATTTCTGGTTCTTGCCACAGAAGAGAAGCAAGATTTGTTCTTGTACATCTGTTAAAACGACGTCTGAGACACAGATGATCAGATTTGATTTGCTGTGTTTTGAACGAGGTCATCAGCGACACACTTTTCCAGATGTGGCCGGAGGAGGAACGTCACTTGTGGGAAGTGATGTGTTTCAACGTTGCCTCGTATCACCTCTGAATGACCCTTCACTTGCATTTAATTTAACTGACGCTGACTTTTTTTTGTTGTTGCAGCGAGCTCATAATAAATCCTGTGTGCAGATTGTTTGCAGGTTTCAACCTTTTCGTTCAGCATTTCTTTTTGTAAATTGATAATAAGCAAGAAAATCCCCTGTGTGTCACGTTTGCAGTAAAAAGCCAAAGTGACAGACCGTCTGGTTTATTATATGAGCCAACGTGGTGATGATGATTTCATGGATCTCTGCCTGGCTGTCAAGGTGCCATTGCTGGTTATGTTCAGGACATTCAGTGAGCCTGTGTGTGTGTGTGTGTGTTTAAATTTCTCAAACATTAGTTCTTCGGATGTGAGGATTCGTCCTCTGTGAACTCTGAAAGTCAACGAGAGGAGTTCATTATGACTGTAAAACATAAAAGACAAAGGGACA